GCGGCCATTTCGACCAGCTCATGTTCTGGCACTTGTGTAAAACATCTCGCCTTAAGCAACCTAAACCTATTTAGATATTCGTTTATAGGTTCAGTGAAACGTCTCTTAACACTCGCCAGTTCTTTCAGGCTTATCTTGGTTTGCCCCATATAGAATTGTTCATGGAACAATCTTTCCAATTGGGTCCAATGGTGGATCGAATTGGGGGGGAGAGTTGTAAACCAAGTAAAAGCGTTCTTGGTTAAGGAACTTGGGAAGTATTTGATTCTTAGGTTTTCATTATTTGAAATGTCTCCTGCTTCGATCAAATACCTAGCCACATGTTCGACAGTGGATTCTGTCGTGTCCCCAGAGAACTTAGTAAATTTGGGGACTTTGGTTCTAGGGGGTAAGTCAGTTTGTAACACATATTCTGACAATGGAGAAGTAAAATTGGGCCTTCGAAAGCCCATGTTCATTCCATTCTGAGTCATGATTCTTTCGATCATGGTTGCCAGATTGTTTTCCAACCCCATGTTTTGGTATTGGACATGCTGAACCACTTCGTCAGCATTTTGGTTTCTGTTAACTAACCTAACCTCTGGGGCTATTACCCTAGGTTCTTCGACAGGTTGTTCTACAGGCTGTTGGGCCTGATTAATGGTGGTTTCCTCCTCTACAAATATCCCCTGATTTCCTCTTATTTGCGCCCTTTGGGGCTGTCGAATAGGTGGGGGTACTCCAAAGAAGTCAGCCAAACGCGTCATTTGCGCTGTAACTTGCTGATTCGACTGAGTAGTATTTTGTATTAGAGGATTTAGCACTGTACTCAAAGTTTGTGCCAACATTTGCACCATATCATGGTTGCTTTCGTCCATCTGTTGCCTCAAGACTGCTGTCGAGGCATTTGTAAGGCCATGGGCTACTTGGGCCGTTCCTCCTAAGAGTTGGGTCCTATTTCTATTCGCCATGCCTACTCCAGAGCCTTGGAGTGGCGAAGTGGCACTCACGAAAGGTTCTGAATAAGTGGACGCAGCATTCGTCAGGCTTGCCAATTCAGAAGTTGGCATACCATAGAATGGAATAAATCCTGGGGGAACCACTGGCCTTGGACCAGTATTTCCCCTTGGAGGGGGAGTTCCCAAAGTCATTCTGGGGCCTGCAAACGAAGTTGTTGGCCCTGTGGTTGTGACTGACACTGCTGGCATCGAACCAACATTCGTCGCTTCACTCACGGTCATATTAACCGTTGCTCCCACACTCGTTTGTGGGATTTCATTATTGTTTGGCGGATTCGCCATCTCTTCCCTTCTTCTGGCAGTATTATTATCGTTGGTGTATATTCTACCACTCCTCAATAACATACAACTCGAAAAGATGAGATTTTTCAACAATCAACACACAGTCCCATCAGGTGTGCCAATTTGTTTACCTGGGGATTTGGTAAACAACCGCTGATCCTCCAAATGGTTACTTATTTGGTTACTCGCAGGATCGATCAGATTGATCCTATGGACATAGGTTGATTTTGAAGTTTAATTAATGTGGATAAGGCTTTAAGTAAATTGGTTAAAGTAAATTGCATAAAGGAAAAGGCTTGGTAAAATAAACAAGGCTGGAATGTAAAGGTTCGACAGGAATCTTAAAGGGAAAAGCATGTAAAATACTGAAAAAGTAAATGACTTGAATTGATTAAATTGGTGTTTCACACATACATTTCTCAACAATTCGTTCGCTCACACTGGGTACTTGAATCTAAATGAGTGACTATGTATTTATTGTGAACACCCGCGAGAAACTACACGTCTACTCCTATTTATACAAAAACATTCCAAGTAACCGTCGGGCAGTTACACTGCTTCGAGATCAAGCCACTTGTCACGTTCTCCATGCTCGACGCCCCAGATCCTTGCACGTTCGCACGTAGTAACTGCTGGAAACCGTTTTCCCTCCAAAGCTTTGAATTTCAAACTGCTCCACTCTGGACCATCGAACACGTTCGTCAAGAGACGTCTTCGACGAAACTCCTTCGACGTCGAAGGCAATCAGCCTCCTTCCTTGGAAGAAATCTTCTAAGTATTTGGCCATCTTTCGACGGTCACTTCGACAGGCTTAGCCAGTCGAAAGCATCTTTCAGCTTTTAATGGCTGTCATCAATTGAAACAAAGGTGTCGAATTTAGGAGCCAACACTAACACATTCCCTTTCCATAATCTACCCCCCTTGCTCATTAAATCTCGAAAAAGATCTTTTTCTATTCTTTTCACCCTTTCCGTTGTTGGATAAAAGAAAATTCGGTGGCGACTCTTGCTTTCCGCGACATTTGTGAATACAAAATGTAAAACCAGTATTAACAGTCAGTTCTTCCACTGTATCACAATCCGATAGCACATGGTCGAAGCAAGAACATCGAAATGAGATTCCACTATCTTTGAGAGTAGGTAGCAGATGAGAAGATGAACTTGGAACACTGCAGAACTGAGAATCAGATTGTAGACATCATGACAAAAAGAGTGCAGGTCAAAGTGTTCAGAAGACTAAAAGCTATGATGAATATAGATAGTTTAGACACAATGAATTAGATGGTGTGTTGAAATTATAATTCCTTGGATCGAAGCAGTTTTCTCGATAGAAAACAAGGAAGTGTCAAAAAGATTGTGTCGAAGTGTGGAAACAGTTTGTTACATACAAATTTGATTTAGATCTAAAATAAATAGATTTGATTTAGGTCTAAAATAGATAGATTTGATTTAGTTCCAAAATAGGTATTTTGGTCTTTTCTAGTTTTGCGTTTTGGCTTAGAGAGCAAGCTAACCTAAATTTATAAATAGTATGAGTAACCCCTATTTTTGTAATTAAGTTGTATTCACAGAATTTGCTGTTGCAAGTGAATAAGAAGTTTTCCACAGTTTGTGGGCAGAGAGAAACTTTGCAGAAAACTATTGTCTTTCTTTCTTTCATTTTTTCATTGTTATTGTGTGGTGATAACAATCTTGTTCATCAAGATTGATAGAAATCCATCATAGAAATTGGTGGATTTCCAACACATCGGCCGCTAAAGTGGTGTCATTAATGAATTTTACTTTGTTCTTCGTGGTTTGATTGATTTTCACAAACCAATCATTTCGACCCGTCATATGCATAGAACAACCAGAATTCAAATAACATTCCTCACTGCACCGCACTCCTTCTCTCATAGTCACTAATCTTCTGCATACATTTCTGCAGCATTCCCGAAGCTACTGTTATTTTAGTCTCGCAGCTTGTTGTTGCTGCATTCATCTTTTGTAATCATGACCAAGAGTGTATTCTCTTCATCAAACTCTAGTCTTGTAACCTTGGCTCAATCTCCTTGAGATTCTCGTTTGTTCGCGTTGCAATCTCTTGCAAAATGACCAAACTTTTGACAATTGTCGTATTGTGTCTTGCTCTTACCATACTTTACTCTTTCGCCTCTAAAGTTTCCTTGACCACCATTTTTTCTTAAGCTTCTCTCACCCTTTTGACAAATCGAATTCTTCGAATTTTGAGACTCTTTTCCACCAAAATTATGAAAATTCCCTTTACTCTTCATGGTCCATTGGGGACAAAATTCATGTTGCAAATTAGGCGTTTGTGGATCAGAACCAGGTTCTTGATGCTAAGTGTTAGAACATTCAGTCACAAGATTGGTAAACAATTGAGAATTTGAGTATGTGGAGAGAGAGAGAGAGAGAGAGAGAGAGAGAGAGAGAGAGAGAATTGGGGGTGATAATATTATTTTGCTTTCATTGTTCTATGACAAACACACCATCATGGTATATATATGTACAAGTGTTGGGATACAAAAGCATCTAGTCAAAAATCAGAGAAAAAAAATCAAAAACTCGAAATTGTAACTAGTTAACACAAATCTATAATCAATTATAGCTGTTATAAAAACATAAATAACTATCAGCCGTAACCGATTACTGCGTTTGCGTAACCGATTACACCAACCTCAAAATAACTTTTCTACAACTTATTTGACCCGTTTTAATGTCTCTAATCGATTACACTCCCGTATTAGCCAGTTACACAAACTTGAATTACCAAAAACTCTTAATAATATATAACTTCTACATATTTTCGAAAGACTCAAAATTAAATCATATTGTATTTAATAATAACATTGCTACATATTACAAATATTCACATGAATGGCTTGAATGTGACATGACTTTTGTTTTTTTTAGTGTGTAGGAGATTATTGTTTGTAAACATCATCATTATCCTTTTCATCCGAAAAACTTTAATAGTCTAGATCAATTATTTCATGGCGCACAAAACATAATTTGACAGAATTAATGGTTCAGGAGAATGAACATCCTGTTTTAAAATAATCAAAGAAACTTTTAATATCAAAAGTTGCACCACCACAACTTTTTATGTCAAAAGTTGCATCAACATAGAAAGTAACATCAAAACCAGACATTGGCCTCAGGATTTATAAAGGTCAGAGTGTATGCTAAATTAAACAATGTCTTCATCTTTCCAGAATTTATTCCAGGATAATTGAAGGATGCAATTAGTGATGATGATCATCATCATGTCCATAACGTGATTGTAATACTTCATTAAGTTGCATGAGACACAATAAATTAAATTCAAAAAAGAAAACATACATAAATATTATTTTTAATATGTATCTGAGTACAATTGTGTCGGTGCAAAATAATTTTAGCTCCCGGACACACGGATATTTAATTAGTTCAGATTATAAAATATTTTATAATTTGATACAAATATTTTTCAAAAATAATTAAAATGAGACATGTCCAAGTAGTAAGAAACCAATGTACTAAAGTACATCAATGTCACTCGAAATTTCAACCACTAAACAACTAATGTTATGTATTTGTCGCAAAACTTTTTTATCTATCACATGCGTACTACTCCATAGTGGGACCGTACCTTTTTGAAGCGCATAATAAAATATTGAATTGGCTAAAATCTTTGTAACTGCATTCAAAATCCAAAGTTAGTAAAGTTGACTCTTTAGAAATGACAGAGATTCGGAACCACTCAGCTCTTCTTGTAATTGACATGCAGGTAGTTATTATTATGATCTGTCTCTTTCCTTAGGATGTTTTTTTTTTTCCTGAGAAACTAAGGATTCTTCTGTATTTGTGTTTGTTTGCAGAAAGATTTTGTAGATGAAGAGAGTCCTGTAAGAACAAAAGGAGGGAAAGATATTGTCCCAAATGTGATTAAGGCTGTGGAAGTTGCAAGAAAGCGTGGAATTCTCATTGTTTGGGTAATACTTTTTCTTTCTTTTGAGTGGATCTTACTTTTCCAAAATGAACAACTATGCAATCAGAACTAGTTTATGTATAAAAGGAGGTGTTCAAAATTAAACTGATGCAAATTATAACTATAAAACAAAATTTAAAAAAATTGAAAAACTACACAAAATCAAATAACATACTATATATTTATATGTTTAAATATTATTTTATGAAAACCGTTTAAATGTAATTAAATTTTAGATTGAATTTTAAATATCAAACCAAACTGAATAAAATCAAATTTTATATAGATATAATTTAATTTTTTTATATTAATTTATTGAATTTGATCTTATTTGGTAGGATAAAACATGACACTTGTGGTTGTTGTTGTTGTTATATTAATATGATGTATTATATTAATTTTTTATTAACGGTTTTTTAACTTTTTGAATACAATTTATTAGTATAATATAATTTTTTTTATATTCTTTCAAATATAATTGCAAAATTATATTATGTAATATTAAATTTTAATATATTATATGTTATATTTTATATCAAGTTTATCATTTTATTTAATATTTATAATGTTATTATTAGTTAAAATAATTATAATTTATAAACAGGATATTTAAAAAGATCCAAAATAAATTGAATTAAATTGAATCAAATTTTCTTAAGCTGTCATCTAAAACTGAATTAAACAGCAAATATTTTTATCTTTTAAAATGAAATTTTATTTCAAAACTTATGTTAAATACGTTGAAAACATTCATAATTGACATGACACTAGTCTTTACTGTTTAAAATAAAAAATAAAATTATTGTACAACTATAAACCACTATTTTACTCTAACTTTTTGTTCAGTGTCAATATTGCTATTAGATTAATATTGGACCAATAAATTTATATAGTATTAAAACTCGTGTTGTTGATTGTTTTCTTTTTGTATCATTTTCAATTTTAGATTTTATATAAATGATATGTTTTGTAAATTTAATTGTTATTGTGTCTCTCTCAAATTTTTTCAGGTAGTACGGGAACACGATCCCTTAGGAAGAGATGTTGAACTCTTTCGCCGACATCATTATACAGTAGGGAAAGTTGGTCCTTCCTGTATAGGAAGCAAAGGTGCAGAGTTAGTTGATGGACTGATCATTAGAGAGGGAGATTATAAACTTGTCAAGACAAGGTTTAGTGCATTCTTTTCTACACATCTTCACTCAGTCCTTCAAGGAGCAGGAATCAATAGTCTCGTGATCACAGGTGAGAAAACACTTCAAATGCATAATGATTATCAGCATTGGACTATCAACATGTGACTGTTCTTGTTAACGCTACTCTATATAACTTTATTTGTAGGTGTTCAAACTCCAAACTGTATAAGGCAAACTGTGTTTGATGCTGTAGCATTGGACTATCAACATGTGACTGTTCTTGTTGACGCTACTGCAGCAGCCACACCTGATATTCATCTTGGTATGTATTATCAATTCATGAAAGTCATACGATTTGATGGAACTTTATTTTGATAATCATTTAAAACTGACTTAGTCTTTTACTTGTATTATGCTTTCGTTAATTTTAGGAACCACTTAGCATTAGCAGTCTTTGTTTTAGTATAGTTGATTGCTTTCGGTTATTGTTTTCCATTGTGTATTCAGTGGCTATTTAAGCCAATACTACAGTTAATAAAAACTGAGTCATTCAGTCCAATTGTTCAGTTCTTTCTTTTAGTTTCAATATCTATAAAAGTTATCAACAAGTTTATTAGATTCTAGTGATGACTAATGACTGAAATTTGGATGGTTACAGCCAATGTGTTTGACATGAAAAATATTGGAGTTGCAACACCAACATTACAAGAATGGAGCGAGTCCAAAGCTTGATCTTTATGGACCACGCGTTATGCAACTGTTTGCACCATGTAGTGCTCAATTTCAAGATTCAAAAGGGTTGATATCTTTTGGATAGCTAATAAGCTGTAAAATGAAATAAAATTGTGTAGTCCGTTACTTGGTTGCCATGCTTTAGAATAATATGTGATTTGAACATCAAATTTCAGACGATATATAAAATAATGTGTTTATCTCTACATCGCATTTGTATATATATATATAACTTATATACATTTTCACATGAATGGCTTGAATGTGACATGACTTCTGTTTTTTTGGTGTGTAGGAGATTATTGTTTCTTTTGTAAACATGATCAATATCCTCTAAAAAAAATAGCCTTTTGTCTGCAAAAGTTTAATAGTTTAAATCAATTATTTCATGAGGCAAAAAGCATAATTTGACAGAATTAATGGTTCAGGAGAATGAACATCCTGTTTTAAAATAATCAAAGAAACTTTTAATATCAAAAGTTGCAACACCACAACTTTTTATGTCAAAAGTTGCAACAACACAGAAAGTAACATCAAAACCAGACATTGGCCTCTGGATTTAGAAAGGCCGGTGTATGCTAAATTAAACAATGTCTTCATCTTTCCAGAATTTATTCCAGGATAATTGAAGGATGCAAAATTAGTGATGATGATCATCACCATGTCCATAAGGAGATCCACCAGGTCCTACCACTTCAAGCTGCTCAGCAAATATAGAGATTCATAGTTAGCATCATTCTGTAAATTTGATTATCCAAAAATACTCCAAATAGTTTACCAGAATTTAGTTCTAGTTTGTTCTAACTGTCATAATTCATTCATGAAAAACTGGACACATGCGACAGTTTTTAAACAAACCTATGCACTCTCACTATTTAGACTCTCAATCAATTCCGTTGAAGCCATTTCAATAAAAATTGGCTACATAGAGTACCTTAAATGTAGGCATACAATATATGGTGACTTATGGTGTTTCCAAACCAGCCACCAGGTTGTAGGTGCAGTCAAGCATTGATGACAAAAATCAATAACAAAACTAATAAAAACTCAAAATCCAGTAGTTGTGAACTACTCTATACTATAGGATGTAAATTGATGATTCAGGAACTTGTTGAGAAGTAAAATAAATGATTTGGCCCAAAGATGAGCTGCAGCTAATAAATTTTTTCCGCTGACAAAAGCCTCTGATGTTTGACTTTTCATTTGCTTATGAGGATGAAACACAGGATCAAGAGAATTTAAACCAATATCTGGGTTCTGAATGGTGACCTAGGTCAAACAGGGTTTTGAAAAGATCGAAAGGCTCTAACTTCCATACTAACAAATTTTGCTTTCCTGCAAAAATAGGAATTATCCTACAGCAAACAGCTAAGAACACCAGAACCATGCAACAGCACCATATAATCTTATTTAAAACTAAGGCATCAAGATTTGGAAACATTTAGAGCTAAAGGAACTAAAAACATCTTCTAACAGAAGCCTTATTATTGCAATCAATAACAAGCAATAGTCCTTGACAACTAATGTGTGCATGTTCAAGCACAAATAGACAATTTTAAATTATATAGGTGCATATCTTGGAATTCAACTCCACGCCTATCTAAACTAAACATACCAGAAAATAATGCAATAAGAGTAAAAGATTTTCAACTCACCACAAAATACTGTGCACACACGGGACATTCATGAGGTTTGTCTTTCTCCAGCCAAAACCAGACAACATCATGCTCATCCTCTGCAATCAAAACAGTTTGTTCACCTCCTCAACGCTATAACCAAAATTCTATCATTTTTCATAACTTCCGAAAGAAGTTAGCACACAATAATACATTAAGAAAACAAAGAATACTCTGGAACTCACCGCCTTCACCACCTGGGCATCCAACTATCCTTTTATCGAAATAAGATTTAACAACAGCAGGTGCTTCCTATGAACCAAAATAAACAATTAAATTAGATAGAAGAAACATATTCAGAACCATTATCTTATAATATTACGGAACAGTAAATCTGAATGAACCATTTGGAAGGAGAGAAAGAACAATAAACACTAGGACTACTAGACTAGCATACAAACGAGTAGAGGTGTTAGTGACTTAACAGTTAACGGTTGTTTGAAAGTAGCCAACTGAATTTAGAAAGAATCATTGGACTCAAAATGTAAATGAAGAAATATATGCATCATCGCTTTCAAGCTTCCTAGCTATTATTTAATACACTAAAGCATATAAATTAAATAAAACTTACATAGATATGTTACTCTTATAAATATGTAACATTTTGAAATTCAATTAAGATTTAAGAGTGGATTAAAAAAGAAATTTATGAACATCTTGACAAACACTTAAAAACTACAGCGAATACTTAATAAGTAAAAAGGGAAGCAACAAGGACCAATTCTTATTTGAAAATAGGGACTAATACATATGTGAAAATTACAGAAACCAATTCTTATAGGAAAATAGGGACCAACAAGTCAACAATATCTTGATCAAATGATTGAAAAGATTACCTAGGACCAACACCTCAATATGTAAAAACAGGGACCAAATTTTAGTGGACATTTGAGACCAAACCTTAACAAATCGAGTCTACAGGGACTAAAACTCAAATAAGTGAAAAATATAGAAGCTAATAATTTAATGGTGAGAACTAAAACCATGAGTGAGAATACTGCAAGAAAATTAAAGGAGACCATGATTTAATAGGTTAATATAGCCTAAAATCATGTGAAAACTAAGGATTATCATCAAGTGAACTAAATGATTTATATAAATAGCTTTAGAAGGAGGTGGCCTCCAGTATGTAATTCACACTTAAAGCAGCAGAACCACACTTTGCCTTTAATGATCAGGACTTCCATACATCAGTTTCATACACTAAAAAGCATGGTCATAACATCTAAACATTTTCAGATAAATAACTTTAAATACCAGCAGCAGTTACAACAAGCTTGCTCTGGTAGTGCAGAGAAAGGCACACATTAACTAGAGGAATTATAACAGGAAACAACTAATTACAAGTTCTCCTTACTTTCAAATTCATAAAAATAATAATTATGGCACGTGGACAACATCAGAACAGGAGATGCGATAAAAAAAGAGGAGTTCTACCAACACTCTCTTCACTATTGACTAAAATTCACCCGAGGGTTCTAAGAATTTATGTGGTCCACATAAATTTAAACCAATAACAGAAAGAGTGTTGAAAAGAAAGTGTCAAAGAGAATGTCAGTACTTGGTAGCACTTCTCACTGTTTTAAAAATAAAGTATGGAACATCATTCATAAAACCAAAAATACATTTAATGAGAAAAAGAGTTCTGACTCAATGTTATTTGTATTTGATCTTTAAGGTTTTCCTCTCACTGAACAAAATTTACATGTGTAGCACCGACACTGTAGATTGAAGGCATGTATGATACGTGACATGTGTCAGTGTCAGACATTTACGCATTTGGTTTCATTCAACTACTTCCATTTTCTCAAATTATTACTAGTGTGTAGAGTCAGTGTTTTGCTTCATAGGAAATTACACATTACAAGATACAAGCAAAAACGATAAGCAATAACACAAATAACACTAACCTTGGTGCCGAAAGGACCTTCAGGGTGGTCGATTTCAAGAATATCCCTACCCTAACAAAAACAAACATCCATATGAAAAACAAAAGCATAATCACCCTTCAAATGCAAAAATCACTAACTACATATTACGTTTCTCAACCTATGTACAAAGAAAAATACTTCAATCAAGATTCAAGAGCTCTTTCTTCAGCATTTTGATTATAGGCTATGAACACAGAATAAGCTGACTGTTAAAAAAGAAAAAGAGATTTCATACCTTTTGCCCTAAAAAACATTAATTACATGTTTGGATTCACTCTTGAAAGAATCAAAAGTGATTCTAAAAACTTAAAATTGATTTTGTTAGTATGTTTCGAGATTCTTTATTAGAATTGATTTTGCCTCAAGAATTAATTTTAACTTGAAGCTTAGTGCATGTTTGGTGTTACGGTGGAGTTACATTGGGTTTGCCAGAATCACGGTGAGCCGTTTTGATTTTACACAAGCTTGTTGCTTCTACCAAACCATGGTGGCAAACCCTGATTCGGCCAAATCCACAGTAAAAACAAACATGCACTTAGCCGATGTTAGGAATTGCAATTGTACACCTAACTATCTAGCTTCGTAAAAGTCGAGTTAAATAGGAATTGCAGCTATACACCTAACTATCTAGCTTCGTAAAAGTCGAGTTGAATAGGAATTGCAGCAGTACACCTAACTATCTAGCTTCCTAAAAGTCGAATTGAAGTGACTGTGACATCGAAATTCGAAAAATTAAATTGCAAACCCTAAACCAAACTAGCATTAAGATTGGTTACTGTTGACAAGAAACCTACAATTCAATTCACTTTTAGATAAGCAAATTCAAACATAAACTCCTTTTAACTAAAATGAATTCAATCAAAATTAAGAGAGAGATGGATACCTCAATCTGAGCCTGAAGCTCCTCACGTTCATGACCAGTAGCAATCGGCACTATATCCTCAACCTTCTTTTTCCCCACAGCACTCTCATCTGCAACAAGAACCAAATCAATAACAATCAAAACAACAAATCAGCTAACGAGAAACGAAATGCAGAACAAGAGAGTACCGGATTGGGTGGAGAAGTGGCGGGAGAGCGTAGAAACAGCGACGGCGGGGGAAGGAGATCGGAGAGAAGAAGAAGTTAGGGTTTTGAGGTTTGAAGAGATGAGTCTACGTAACATGGTGATTGATGTATTTTGTTATGATCTCAGGTCACGCCCCGTTGGGTTTCGGTTTCTTTCTCTCGATTTTGATGATTTAACGGAAAACTGAATGAATAAACTCTGAGAAAGAATGAAAATTCGAAATGGAAAAGGGTCGCTTCAACAATCGGTAGTGGCGACAAGGGAATTGACTTCACACGTGACAGAGACTCCCTCGTGTCGTGCCACTCGATTCCAATTTTTTTTCGATCAAACAAAATAAGGAATTTTATTACCAATAAAAGTTTTAATTTTTTTTCTTCTTTTTATACATTTAAATACTAGTAAAATCTCCTAGGGGTCCTCTCTGAATTTATATTACATGTATACTAAATATTCATTTATAAAATATAGAATAATAATATATATCAATTTTTAAACATTAATATAGTCAATTTTATAAAAAAATAAACATTAAAATGAACTATTTACGACTAATATCTCATAAATACATTTATATTTACTCATAAATCTATTTCATGTATTAAATTGAATATCAAATTTGAATCTCTCGTTTATAAAAATATTTGATGCACGTATAACAATTTTAATAATTTTAGAAAAGAACAAACTACCCTGCTAGCTCCACAACCCTCCATGTCTTCTTTTTGAAAAGCCTTCACGTTTTTTTGATTTTTTAAATGTCTAAACTCTCTTGCTACATCATCTCTTTCTCTTCCTTCTTCATTTTTTTCTCAATTTGATGCTTTCTTTATCTTTTCCTTCTCTTTTTCATCTCTCGTTGTTCTCCTCGTCTTCTTCTTCTTTCTCCCTCTCTTGGTGGATGAAGAAATGCATAAGAAAGTGAAGGAAATGTCACGAGAAAGAAATGCACAACTATCACGTTTTTTTTGTTTTCGGTTTAAAGTTAGGGTTTTTGTGGTTGATATGATGATCTTGTGGTAAGGGTTTTTGTGGTTGTGGTTGATATGATGATTTTGTGGTTAGGGTTTTGGTTTTCCATCATTGATACCTTCACACGTTTTGTAAGTTGCAAAGTTTCAAGGAGGTGTTGCATTGACTGTTATTCCAGACTCTGTTACAAATGGTGGCACCAGACTCGGTTCAAAAGTTCTACTTCTTGAAATATGAAGAAGGTGCGCCTAAGTTTAAGCATGTTCCTTGGTATTGATTTGACCGCAGGTTCATATTGTAATGTTTTATTGGTTTGAATGTTGATCGGCAACTATATTGTTCAATTACATTTAGTCACGGAAGATTCGATTACGATAGAGTTTTATTGTCAAATTTGATCGAACTTGTTTATGAAATGTTATAATGTTTTCTTCCGACCGCCTTATAGAAAACCTCTACTTGTCTCCCTGCAGCATTGAGCTTCAACTGAACAATAACAGCTTTAAAGCTTGCAAGCTGCTGGTCCGTTTAAAAATTAACTTTGATATGAAAAATTTCATTGTTTTTCGCAGAGATTTTAAATCTTACTGAATCGTTTCAGGGTATAGTAGAGGCATCGATGAATGCAGAAATAAAATCGCCTTGGATTTCGTTTTTCAAATCGTATACCTCCTCGCAGATTTCCATATTTCTTGCCTTGCTTTGTAATATCCGCATTTGCATTTGTAGTAGCAATCCCTTTATAATGATTTTTATGATTTTACAGGCACGACATCAAGTTCCTGAAGAGGTTCTCCTGCAAATACGGTCTCCTAACGATCTTGACTTGGAGCTCTATCAATATGCAAGATCCATTTTCAATAAGAAACATAAAGTCTAATTGCTAATTACTGAGGTATAATTGTTGAGTTTGATATATCCCATCTCTTCACTAAATGGTTATATAATCTTATCCATGGCTGCAAAAGTTTGAGACTCTCAATGTTAAACTGCTTTAAACCAAATATGGTCAGAGTATAGAGTGAATTATCTATTAGGCTCAATTATATTTTTGTGTGAATTATTTTTCTGCATGTGTTGTCTGGCAACATCCTTGATGCAGCCAGTTGTATTATAGATAAATAGGTGGTTTGAAGCTTGCACGTAGTGTGTTTGATGAAATGACTGTGAGGGTGTTACCCACTTGAAATGTTATGAAGGCAGGACAATTTCCTTCTGTGATAATGTTATGTTAATTGCAGTGTTTTTTCTGAAATTTCTTTCTTAAGACAAGAGGTTACTCGATGCACTAATGATGATCTCTGTGCATCACAACTGAACAACCAGAGAAGTCTGGATGAGAACTTTGAGTTCTTTATGTGGGTTGACACAATTGTAGGTCTAATAAGTTTAGCTTTACCTTAAATACCTAAAACATTTATCTATAATAGACAACTAATAATATTGATTTACATTTCAGAGCGTTTGAGTACGAGAAAACAATGATCTTGTGGTAAGTTATGTCAATCTACTTGCAGAAAGAGAACACGGTAGTTGCAATCTACTTTTTACTATTATGTCAAACTATATTAATTTTCTATGATGAATCTTTTACTGATAATTAATTTTAGGTTCAATTTGTGAAGCAGTTCTTGGAGAATCAAAGAAAGGGGCTCCATGACAGTAGGTTGAGATCAATAATTTGAAAATGCATTTTAAAGGAATCGGTTCTAGAAATAAATGGCTATTAATGATGTTGATAATGTTCTACAAGACTCTTTCATTAATTTCCACTGGATTTAGGCTATTCAATTTCTGCCCTCTGAATATACTACAGTAGAGCTTAATCTGTATTGGCATATGGATTTTTTTTTGGCGGATTGAGAAGCTTAGTGATACACAGTGCCAACCTGAGTCACAGCTTAAGTTCATAACTGAGGCCTGGTTACAGGTAAATGAATATATTAATTATTCCTTTCATCATAGCCGTAAAAGTTGTGTCATTCAGGGATTCATACAGAATGTCTTGCAATGCAAATAATAATAAATAAATAGCTTATGCCGTGGTGGCTGGAATCGCTATACAAATTCCAAAAATCATGCAACAATATAGAAACTGTGAATTATGGTAGTCTGTTATTAAAGGTCCCTGGCCTAAAATTACATTTACATTTTGCTTATATAACAATGCATAATTTATTTAATGTTTCATGCTATTTTTTTTGTCCTTTCTAGATTTTATAATCTGGTATGATTTGATATATGTATGAATAGCACACCCAACAACTTAAGAATAACTTCAATGGGGGAGTTTTTTCTCTAGTTTTTCAGCTGGAATGTGTTGCTTCAAATTTTCTCTCGATTGGAGGCCAAGCGTTGCAGTGCAATCTTTATAGAACTTAACAAATAATAAATTAATAATAAAATATCCATACTTCTTTTTGCTTTTTGTTTTTAATTTTTTTTTTTTAATAAACATGATTTATATATTAAATTTTACTTCACATTAATAATTTTATAAACAATTTATTTTTTTTAAATGTTAATTTTACGTTATTTTAATTACTATTTTAAATTTTAAATTTAATTTAATTTATTTATTTATTGTATATTTATAAATTTAATAACAAAATAAAATATTAATATATGAGATAAAGTTGTGGAACTCAATATGAGTTCTTTAGAGTTGTATCATTAGAGTGAAAAATTAGTTGAATTGCTTCAAACTGACGTGACTTAATAGATTCTGCAAAGAACTCAAAAATGAGTTCTCAGCAGTTTCATATCAAAGACATGGGATATTAACAAAAGCTTTAAATGTAAGTCCTTCAATCATAATTCATATATTCAATAAGTTTTTCGTCTCAATATCTCCATAATTTCTTCGTATAAATATGTCATGTTATCAATATTATATATGAAACGTTAAAATATATATTATTGATTTAAAATAATTTTGGTAAAATAATTTTATTTTTTTTTTAAAAATAATAATTTTTTTTGTTAAAACATTTTTTTTAATTTACATTTTATTACATTTAAAAATAATTATATTGTTGATTAAAATATTTTTATATACGGAAGCAAATATTGAAACTAATTTATTATCTATTTTAAAAATAAAAAACTATTTTGGTTAACCAAATTATATTATATTTTGAAAACAAAAGTGTGTGTATCACACCAGTATTCGTGTGAACGTACAGGTAACACACTAGTATCGTGTGAACCCACGGGTAATCAGTTTAAAATTTGTGTGTACACATATATAACCAAGCCAAAATTCATGTGAACGCGTAGGTTTTTAGATTTTTTGTGCAATTAAAGAAAATAAATGTAAATATATTTAAAATAATGTATCTATCCAAATACGAGAAAATGTGTTGTTTTTTTAATTATTTATATATTTAATATTTTTATTTTGATATTCTTTTTAATTTAAAATACAATTATTTTTAAGATAATATATGAATAACTGAAATATATATTATTGATGTGTTTCTTTAAAAAATTGGAAAATTGATGCAATTTTGTTTTTATTTTAAAAATGTCTTTTTTAAAAAAAATTATAAACTATTTTGGTAAAATAATTTTATTTTTCTTATTTATCCTTTTATTATATTTTGAAAACAAAAGCGTGCGTACCACATCAGTAGTTGTGCGGATGCACGGGTAACACACCAGTAACGAGTGAACGCACAAGTAATCATACTAAAATCTGTACGAATGCACGGGTAACATATATATGAGTAACGTGTGAATGCAGGTGTAATGTATTACTTTTTTGAAATTCTTTTGAATCATTTTCTTTTTTGGACTTTTATGTAAAATTATTTTTCTATTGATTTTCAATTAATTCTAATTTTGGATATTTATTTGTCTAATTTATTAAATTTTATAAATCATTTTATTATTACAACTCTATCAACTCCAAAAAAATATTTTTATTTTATTTTTCACAATTGTCTTTTACAAAGTACGTGTTTAATGATTTTTCTTAACAATAGTTATTTTTAAAATCTTATACAATTATCTTTCAGTCCAATTTTTATTTTTTATTTTTTCCAATAATATTTTGATATTTTATAATTTATTTGAGTTCTCATAACAAACTAGTGACATATCTGCGATATACATCAGAACTCATACGGACGTACGTGTTTCCTATTAGTAGTTATAAAGACAATATATGATTTTGGTGTAGCTATTTTTTTCTTCTAATTATGCCCTTTTTCACTTTTTATTTTTAATATCAACTTCTTTTTACTAATTGTTATATGGTCGTTTTATATCTCTTTAATTTCATTTTTTAATTATTTTATAAATAGCTAACGTTTAAATTAAAAATTAATACATAAAAATATAGTTTATATTTTCACCCGCTTGTGCATTAAAGAAAACGGAGAGACGGATTGGATGCTAGTATATGTAAAGAGAAGAATTTTTTTTTTTGAATAATCAAGTATTAAAAAAAAAATTCACAAATAACCGCGTTTCGGAAAAAATTACGTAAATAACCATGTTTCAGATGACTCCCCAAAGGAGGAGCCATCTCACTTGGCGCATCCTCCCATTTTTTAAGTGGAGGCGCCATCTCACTTGGCGCCTATGTGCTTAGGGCATGCCCTAAGCCAAGTGAGATGGCGCCTATGTGTATTTTTAGGGCAAAATATGATTATTTTTTTTGTCCGGTGCGTTGCGTATTGGATACAGGATCAAAAAAATGGACTTTTTATTAAAAAAATAATAATTACATCCAATTGTATTACATTAAAAAAACAGATAAAAAAAAGGAAAAAAAAAACAGATAAATCAGTGATCCCCCAGAACCCGGTAATGACCCCCGGTTCCGCATCTCCGTCCTCGCCTTTCACGTGTTGGGTGTCGTCGCGTTTCCTGCTGCGGCAGGGTCGATGGCCCAACGAAGTCAATGCGGTCCGGATCCATAAAATCAGTCAGATCTCCATATCTAGAAGATCCGCTTTGGTACAATCGGTTACCCATACCCTCAAAGTTTGATCGTGTTGGAGGTGGGTGGGGTTCCATGGTGGGTCTGTAGCATTGATCGTCTGAGTACGGTGGGTAGAAAGGACATGGATCTTGGGGTGTTTGGTATTGAGGATGTTGGGTGGTTTGGTGATATTGTGGTTGATGGTAGGCTGGGTCAGTTTGTTCGTAATCTTCCGACATTCCCATATCAGGGCTAAGGCTGGATGTTGAGGGGCCCATATTGGGATATACGGAAGATTGAAATTGTGTGGGGGGTATGCGGGTGTGTTGGTATTGTGATTGGTATTGTGGTTGGGTGTGAGGCATATCAGGGTATTGGTAGTGAGGTGGTGATTGTGGTTGGTTGTGGGGCATTTGAGTGTAATTGTGTTGTGGTGGGGACTGTGGTTGGGTGTCTGTGGTTCTGTTTCTTCTTGGGGGTTGGTCGGAGGTTGATGGGTTTTGAGTTTGTTGTTGGGGAAACGAGGGTTGTGCCCATTGTGTGCGTGGGTCAACCAAGTACCTTGGATGAGACACGTGCATTTCAGGGTTACTAACCGACCTGTACCAAGATAAGTATTGATTCGTGTGTCGCATATTACCATGATTAAGGAAAACCGGGAATTGCAAGACATAACGGTGACGCCTCTGCCACATCTTACACCATTCCGGAGCAAAGTCTTTCCAGTTGATAAGACCCCACTAGGCTTCGACCCTTTTAAGATGCCATGGGGACAAACAAGTTGGATCACTTGGTATCTCTTGATGCATTCCAAACTGCATCTTCACACGGTCGCTGTGGTGCATCTCCACAACGTTGAACCGAATGATTGCAGTCTTCGCGGTCCAAATTGCTGCATCCTCCGGGTTTGGATCATGGCCCAAACCCAAATATGGTCTCCAGACGAACTGCGATAAAATTTAAATTAGGTTAACGAAAACGTAATGTATAAATAATTTAAATGAAGAAAAGTTTAAAGCTACGACATACATCATTCGGGCCTAAGTGATCCAACAGATTGCGTTATAGTGCGACATTGAATCTTGGATTCTTACCGTAATCCATACCCCTCACGCAATACCTAAAAGAAATGAAAAACATTTTATTCTTAGCATATATTTGGTGAAGAGATGAATAGTAATAAATGATATAACTTGATGACTTACTTTGTTGCGTACGGGAAAACGAAAGTGTTGTTGTTGACGGGGTTTAAGGACTCCATCCTCCACCAACCCCAGGCTTGTAGTAAAAAAGCGCACCCATAAAATGTACATTTTTCCTTGACTGCATTTTTGCACAAGGAACTGTATAGGTGGGCTAAAACTGCAGAACCCCAACTATACTTTTTTGTTTTTTCAAAATCCCTAAGTAAATGTAAGTACATAAAATTTACACTATTTCCCGTACTTTCGGGAAATAAAAAGGTACCAAATAGTATCATAAGATATGTTCTGGCTTTTACTACCCTGTCTTGCTCAGAGGAATTTCCGTTTAATTCCAAACTTGCATAATGACTTTTAAGCTCAGTGAGTAGTATTCTCTGGCCTCTCGCACCACCACCTTCAACCATATCCCTGCCCAACAGTTCTTCACACTGAGAGTTGGGTTGTTGAACCGACCCGTTCACGGCCTTACCGTCGACAGGGAGACCTAGTAACATGTACACATCCTCTAGCGTGACGGTACATTCACCTATTGGTAG